CATACTCCACCATCTCTCTTAAACACAGAGATTTAGAGCTGTATTTGTAGAGCACTCTGAAGTATATACACAGCTGTAAAATTGCTGAGAAGACTTTTCCTGCCCTAGAGAGTTTAAAATCTTATTCTCACAGATAGGGTATGTGGAGTAAGAGTGCAGGGCTGAACTGAGACATTCCTTGTGGGGAATTGGCACAGAATAGTTTCCTAGAGTCAAATGAGCCTCCAGGAACAAAGAGCAGGTGGCAGGGAAGTGTGGCTGCTCTCCTCTCCAGGGACCCACTAATGAAAGGTATGCATAGGAAATCAAGATTTGAGCATAGCTGCACAAGCCATTCACAAATCCAGCATATGTGCTTGAATGACTACCCCAGAGCGGAAATTATTATCTTCAGTACTCTGATATTACTGCCTGAGCCAGTTACATGGGAGTACTCAGGCATGAACCATCCCTTGTGAGACAATGTGGACATGCCCTACAGGACTGAAAAGTCCACAGACTGAGGAAAGTAACTGGGGAAGATGAAAGATGGAAGTGAGGACTGGAGAAACGGGAGAGCCTGGGAATTGAGAATAAGCTCCTAATTCACTGCAATGAATGTCAAGCAATCCTGAATATAAGAATTTCATTTTTTTCCTCCTAAGTTGAACAAAAGCATCCTAAAATCCAATATTCAGGATGATGTAGCAAAGCGTACTGAATAGACTCTACAGAGATTGATCTATCTGGTGAGAAACTGGGGGACTGCAGAGATACTTACTTGAATACCAGAGGATGAGAAAACATCCTCAGAGGTGGTTGCTGTGTCTTGCCTACATCTACACCTTCCTCTAAGTTTCTTCTACTGCCCAGGATCAGATGTGCAATAGGGGAGTTTGATGTGATCGGGCATGAGTTTTCATTCTGTATACACTATTGTGAATGATGACTTTTATAATATGCCCTCACCAGAGAAATGTGGCACCCGACATGGTCCAAGTGGTTTGCAGGGGAGTAACTTTACTTGTAGTTTTGGAGGCTTTTGTAACTTGCCATAAGGCTAGTTAATATTGAGGAACCAACAGTGATTTGCATCTGCTGATAAAATGACAATTAATTTTAAAAATAATGTTCAAGATAGCTTTTTTATTTGTTAGGCTGCAATGATACATTTACCAAACAGTAGGGGCAAGGAGTAAGACAAGGAAATAATTAATTTCTAACACACTGCATAGAAGAAATACTGAAGTAAAAATAATTTGTTTCTCTAGAGGTAAATAGTGTCTGAACTTGAATAGAGGTCCAATTTCTGTCTGGCCAGTTCATCTGGGTTTTGTTAAATTAAAAAAAAAGACCGGTCCACGGATTACTTGTACTATGATTACATCACATAGTGTGGTCACTTTGCAGTGAAAGAATAGATACTACAAAGCAGTAATGCTTTCTCTTTCTTGAATGAAGTTAAAATGGCACAAGAGAAACACAGCCTCTAGGGAGAGGCAGCATATTTTCTTAGATGAGTTGTTTAAGTTGGAAAAATTGTCCAGTGGAAGATTCAGATGAGCATGAAAATATTCTGATCCCATATAATAAAGGCAGTAAGAGCACATAATTACTTGAAGACATCCACTAATGCACTGAGAGGCAGGAAAAAAGTGATTGCTAAAAACTTCTAGAAGTGCATAGGAACTCAAACATGAAGGAGGACCCTCCTATGGTAGATGCCAACAAAGTAATCAAAACCTAAAGAATAAACAGGAAATACATCCAGAAAATGCTAAGGTGGTGTAGCAGTGCTATTTATAATACTACTGAAACGATCTTATGTGCACAATATTATCTTTTGTGCTTTAACTCTCCAACTAGAAATATTGGTCCTTTAATGAAGTATCTTTCCCTGTGCTTTTACAAAATACATAGTCATTAGTGTGTAAGGACTGATGACTGGGTAGAGCTTGTTTTCCAAAATGGTGCAGAATAACACCACATAGATACCTATTGATAAATGTTTAGAGAGAGTCTGGTGTGGGGCTGGATGCTTGGACAAAAAACATGTATGGGTTAGCAAACACTAGGCTCCATCAAGAAGCAGTGCTGACTTCATGCAGCCTAAGTTAGGTCTCTGCTGCTGGCTCTGTGCATGAACTGATGCTGTTTTCCTTACTGTCTGGCTATTGCTGCTATGTTGAATCAGGAGCAAAGAGCACCTTTGGAAGAATGAAAAAGACTAGAAAGAATGATTGTAGTAACACTGAGAAGTAGAAGCAGATGGAGGTGAGGCAGAGACAAAAGGATCTTTTGACTCGAGGTTGTAAGTTCAAGTTTTGGGAAAGAGCACTAGTGACTGGCTGCCAGTTATTTATATCTGGAAGCCCTAGTTGTCTTGAAGATCTCAAATAGCTGCAATGGCTACTGGTGGGACATGAACACATGGATAGAGAAGAGCAGCAAAGCTCTTCCACATCCCAAGTTACGGTGTCGTTAGGGAATGATGTGGAAACATAGCGATGGGGGTCAGTTGTGGAAACCTGCACTGCACACGCCACGATTATTCCCTGGAAAACACCATGTATATGGCTCCAAGGCAAGCATACCTTACAGCAGCACTGTGGACTGTAACCCTTCCACAGTATGTCTGACTTCAGTACTACTGTGCAGGTCAGACTCCTCTAGCCCTGCCATGAGGGGCAACTCTGCCCAAGGGACCACTTGCAAACCTTCTTCTTTACTACAAACTACACATATTCCCAAGTGCATAATGCCTCTTATATAGTGTAGATGGGATACCTCTTGAGTGATTTCTTGTGACCCTTTGACCAGTAACACAAATGATGGAAAGAATTTAGAAGAACAAGGTAAATATTTATAAACCGGTGTTATAAATCATTGGCCTTGTAATTTCTCTGACCCCAAAGACTGTACTACCATGTATGTGATAAATGACTGAATTACTCAGCCTGGATTTTGGTGCAGTTGTCTATACAAGCCATCTAAACAAATGCAAGGAACCAGAAACCTTAGAAGCTTTGAGATTTAGTGAAAGAAAAATGCTTAGCTTTCCTTCCTTATATGTACTTACACAGAAAAAGAGGTTCCTACTTTTTCTCACTCACAATATAGTTTCAGGTTTTCAATTAGAGTTTTGTCGGGGAAATTAGACTGCAATTTCTAGAGGTGACCTCTTGTTTTCAGGTTTGGAATCAGAGTATCATTAGCCCAGAGACAGGGGAATGGATCACATCTTCTCAACTGACCAACAGAAACAAAGATATTCACTGGCTTGGGGAATTGTATGTGTTCATTGTAAAGCAGAAAAATTCCCATGATAGAAAGGATGATTATCTCATAGAGAAGTACATCAGGTTTAAACCAAGGCTTCTGCCACAAGCATGGAAGACTTCAAATGCTCCATTTTAACTGCAATTCATATTGCTTCAAGGTATTAACAATTCTAAATCAATATTTTGGCTGCATATTGGAATGCAATGTTGCCATAGAAACTGAGCCTAATCTTACTCTTAGAATTAGATGAATACGCACATGTGTGCAATAGGAGGAAATGTAGTTAATTTTATATTCCTGGGTGGAATAAAGTTTAATAAGCTTACTTGTATCTCCTCTTCCTGCTTGCTGCAATGAATTTCAATATTCCTCTGTCTTTTCATCATAATAAAGTCACAGTATCCTGCAGAAATTTTTTTTCCTGACACGCTTCCCACCAAAATCTCATTGCATGGTATGAAGTGTTCCTTATGAACCCATGGAAAGAGCCTTTTATAGGAATTTGCAAGCACTTAAGTAGCTAATGAGACACCTAAGGTTCCTGATGCAATTTCCTTTTTACCTACTGCAAGTACATCCAAATGCTCCACCTATGGTTTGTGCACTTTCTGAGCGGGCTGCAGGTAACTTGGCCCATATAGAGCTCTGCTTATTGCTGAGATTCAGTTAGGCTGAATTACACCTGAGGCAAATCACACCTCCCAAACTCTTTTTAAAATAATTCTCGCCTTTTCCCTCCACAACAATTTTCTGCAGTATTGAACATCAGGTTTTTCCAAGATGGCCAAATTTATTTTTTCATGGGGTTGTTAAAAGTGACTTTCTACAAGAAAAATTCAGTTCAGACATTTGGTCTGTAGCCTGGTTTGTCAGGGAAACAAGGGGTATGAGCTCATGCAGTTGCTCTGTCTCCCACTAAAGACCACTGAACTGGTTGACTGCTTGTGACCAGTTCTGGTGGAATACAAGCAGGAACTGACAGTTTTCGTATCATGAGCTGGAAATGCAGGACATAACCTCAAGGGATAAATGCAACTGTAATCTGCACAGGAAAGAAGGCAGTGTGTACCATGTGCGCTATGGCTGGAAGGATGACAGATACAGCTTTCCTAGCAAAGCCACTTCTCAGACTTGACTTTCTCAGCTTAATTAAATGCTTTCTCTTGAAGTCCTTTGCTTGGCCATCACTTAGTACTGTGGAAACCATGAAACCTCTGTTTAACCAGGCTGTTTTGTTTTACAGTCATTAGCCACGGAATTCCGTAGGCAGGAGTCACCTTGGCATTGTTCTCTTTTATCACTACTATTTATAAATAGATATAGGCCCTTGACCAAATAAACAGCTGATAAAAGTAGTACACATGGGAAATAACTCCACTGACACCAGTGGAATGAAACATTGAATTGGTGTAAATAGGAAGTCAGTCAGAAAACTGAGAGGCCAATTGCCACTGCTGAACATGTTTTACTCCATCTCAGATTATAAGGCTCCCCATATAGTCTGGTTCTATAATAAAGGCAGGTAAAGATTTTGTTTTGGGGGTACTTTTACTGAAAGATAGAGCATTTGAATTTTGCAACTCTGATGACACCAGTCCCAGATTTCTCATCTGGGGAACAATTTTTTGTGGCCTGTTGTAGTCCATGTCAAGTTCTGTTTAAGTCTTGTCTATGGTTTACAAAGTTAAGAGCATTTTTAGTTCCAATCCTGTATGCCAGCAGGTCTGTACTTCTCCTACCTGTTTGTGAGGATAAACATTAATGTGGCACTTGATACATTCTTGTCCCATGTTAGCCCAGGAGTTTCCACTCATCCATTTTCTCTTGCATTTGGGGCACTTATATTCACCGAAGCAGCGTTTCTTGCCCTGGTACGGAGTCAGGCCTTCTCCTTTTGGACGAGCCTACAAAACAAAGGGAAGCAGCAATGAATGACCAAAAAGGGGGGTGGAGAAGTAGTAGAAAAGTAAGGTTTTTAAATTACAAAACTTTGGGCAAAAGACACTGGAGGCAGACTGGAAGACCATATCCTCTTAATGAAGAGTCTGTATCTTGAAGCTGGAGTTTAACAGTTCTGAAAGTTACTTCTGTGAGAAGTATTCAAAATATCAAGTAGACCTGTAACACCTGTGAAATTAAACATAGTATTTAGAAATATGCCTGTGTGTTTTTTGCAATGAATAGTTTTGATACCCATTTCATTATAAGATCATCTCTACTGAGTATGTATTGCTAGCATTATATATAGCATATTGAGAAGTAGCTTGCTAGTGAAGAACAACGTTTCTTCACTAGATCCTTGCATACTCCCCAGTAGAACCTATCATTAAGAAAATTACAAAGGAAAATGACAGGAAAATGTCAATTTATGGAGCCATCCTTATTCTGGATTCCTTAATTTGGCTCTGAGGAATTTGTAGCACAACTCAAGTCACTGTAAGAAGGAGCCACAAGTTCTCTTCATTTAGAAATTCTTATGGAATTGAATAGGAACCCTGTGTACAGAGAGCTCCCATGACTGAGAGGTGTTCCACCTCCTTCTGAGACATCACCGATTGCTTTATTTGTAGTTTTAATTGGGGCTATGTTATTGAACAGAAGACAAAGAGTTATTTGTGATTCTCAGTTTCAGCGGCACTCTACTTAAACTCCTTCTGCAGTCCTGGAAATGCAGCTTTATTACCCCTACTAAGAAGAAGTCTTTTCAGAGAACATGCAAGTCACAGAGTGCATTATTTCTAAAAGTAAGAGCACTGACTTTGGAGATAGAGTGTGTCTGAGAAGTTTTGTAAATGTTTACAAAACGGTATTCAAGCATAACAGTTAGACCAGCCATAAAGAGCATTTAAACATCAGGCTCCCATAGCAATGTGTTGTGCTAGCCCCAGTTCACAGAAAGGGGAAACTTTTGGAGATGACCACTTTCAGCCGGCTGATAACTGTAGGTTTCTCCCAGTCAGGTTGCTGACTTCAGAGACAGCAATGCCTTGAAATGCTCTGCCCTCACAAATGCACATGAGGGCACTGAAGATGCTAGTTAATAAAGTCTCTGTGTACAGCTGGGCATCAGAAATGGAAGCTTTCCAAATTAGAAGCTACTTATAAAATTTGGCTTCTCCAACTTGCTCAGTAAATCGGAAGCAGAACTAGGAAAAGAGTGTACGAGCTCTGACTCTGGTGGTAATTTCCTGTTATAATTGCTAGGCTAAACTTCTGATTTATTTTTATTTCACTTTTCAGCTGTCCCAGCTCCCTCCTCAGTCAGTGACTGTAATTAGTTTGCTGGCAAAGTTAGAACATTCTCTGTAGGTGTTTCGCTATTCTGCTTTATGGATGTTTATACTTTACCCTAACAGATATTATTTTCCTTCCCATATCTTCAGGTTTCCCAAACTATGCCCCACAGGGAATTTGGATTCTCAAACAAGCAAGCTCATTTTCTCTATTAAGAAACATTATTAGGAAGGGCTGACAGCAGCAAAGGCAACTCTCCAACTCCCTCCACCCTTCAGGTCCAAACAAAACAGAAATAGAGAAATTTGACAGTATTTGGTGGAAGGCAAAACCTGCGTGAGATACACTAATGGCCTGAGAGGTCTGAGGATGGGTGGTGGTTTTTTTCCTCTATTTTTTGTGCCTGTGGCGTCAGCAGCAGCACAGTTTAATGTTTTAAACATTTCCAAGAAGCAGCCTGCTTCTTGGCACAGCAGCCAGCCCTGCCTGCAGGGTGCTTGAGCACCTGGTCACTCTATGACAGAGGTGTCCAAGTGCTCATCCAGCTGGAGGGCAAAGACTGTTTTCACCAAAGGTTTTTCTTAACTAAGTGCCAAAAAAGAGCAAGTAGACACATTTTGTCTTTTGGTATTAACCTAAAGACTCTTATTTTACAAAACGTGGTATTTACCTTATTTAAACCATTAACCTCCTATTCCCTCCCAACATTGGCTTGATTTGAATAGTGTTTAGTAGTAAATCTTGGTTGGCGTTTAGGTCCTGCAATTCTCTCACTGAGCATTATCTTTTCTTGCTCTTTCTGCAGAGAGGGATTAATTTCTGATCCTAGTTCACCTGGCAAAGTTATGCCCCTATTCAAAATGGCAAATTATTTTGTTGTTACCATGTTAACATACATTATCCTGTTGCATTTAGGCCCAGGTAGTCTTAGGCTCGGTTTCTACCTTTGGCTGCAAAAGCTTGCTAGAAGCTCCATCAAACTAGGTTACAAACTGTATTGTGAACAAGATTTTTACATTTTCAGCATTCTTTTTGTCTGGGGAGTTGACAAATTTATGCTTTAAATGCTGATTTGACAGGTTTACTCCGTAAAACAAAAGCTCCCAGCTTTTCTCCTAATACGCGACTGTATGGCTTTCCAACAGCTGAATGTACCTTCATTCATGTAGCCAGGACTGGTAGGCCTTTGGGGATGATCAAAACGAAACAGATTTTTCAAGAAGGAGCAGGAACTAGCTATTACTTGAAGTATGTATCAATGTCCAGATCTAGGTCTACATAACAGATTCTTTTTGCTGCTTTGACTTTGGAAATTAGCAGGGAATTTGCAGAAGGGAAACCCTTCCTTTCCTAAGGTGCCTGTGGGGCGGGAGCTGTGGAGGCCAGAGCCCCTTCCCTCCTCATGGCCCTCAGGCACAAACTGAAGCCAGTCTTGGACTGGTGTTAGTGCTGAGGCTGAAGGGGACTCCCTCTGGCCTGAATTTCGGGAAGATTCGGAAAAGCACAAATTTTCCAAAAGCCCTCACTGCGCCCTCTGTCCATGAGCAGTTAGCCAGACAAAAGGACCTTGCCTTGTGATTCATGTGACAGCAATACATCACATCGGTCTTCCAGATGAGTGCTAAGACAAATGAAATCCTCTCTCCAGGTTTACCTAGCCAGTGTTTGTCTTTACTAGATTCAACATACATACAGAGCCAGTGGGGCTTTTTTTTGTGTGGCACAGCAATGAAAATTACATGAATATTCCGTCTTTCACTGACACTGAGCTGCCTCTATTATTCATCTTCCTACTTTCTTCAGCCAAAACCACAAATTTGCCATAATAAGATTTTAAAAGTGTTTAAGTTGAGCTTTTCTGCTGGTAACTGTCCAGCCAATGTCTCTCACAACCTATTGGATTGTGCATCTCATGGAGGAATCTGCCAAATCACTTGGCAGTAATGGACATAATAAAGGATTCTTTGCTTTCCCCAGACAATTCTCTCAAAGTATCAGTTTGCAGAATCAGCAAAACCAAAACAACCCTCACCCCCACGCCTTGCTTAAAACTAGATTTGTTATAAACAACAACAGGCAGAGAGTTCCCTGAAAACTAAATGCAGCAAAACAATTTAATGCTCTTCCCCTCATCTTCCCTTGAGTTTGGGTTACACAGCTGAAAAACATACAGCATAGGGGGAAGATGAAGTCAACATGATACTGGTAGGTGGGTCCCCTTCCTAGAAGAGTTCTGTAAGGGTCTGCTTATAAGGATGCTTCATCAAATAAAGCAGAAAAGCAATCATAGCAAAAACCAGCTTGAGGCACTGACCGGCTCCCAAGTGATTTGCGGGAGTGCGAGGGCCAGAGTTGTATTTTGAAATGTCAGCCCTCTGACACTCTCCATTGTAAGTCAACACAACGAGGAGATGGCATTAAAAAACCCTACTACTCTTCTTTTATGCTGCTTTGCTTGCATAGTTTTGAGAAAGATTAAATGAGAATGATAAAGCATACCCAAAATCTTCAATTAGAAAAGGAAAAAGAAAGTATTAGGACTGATTTGGCATACTGGGTGTCCTGGCACACTAGTTCTGACTCTGCAGCAAGATGTAGAGTGTTGGGAAATTCACTGAAGTCCCCTGACCTTTCTCAGTTCTGTGTAGGCTGTGCAGAGAACGAGGACACACTTGTACGCCTATGAGAATCTTCAGCAAAAGTAATGCTCAAATGGCACATTAAAGGGAATCTGTAGACTGGTTAACTTTTCTTTGTCCTTCCTTAAACCTGAGTATCAGCAGAATATGTAGACAGATACTGAAGTTATATATTTAGGAAATGAATTCTAACATAGGTGGTCTATTTTTCCTTGCTCTGTGTACTCCACGTTGCTGGTGTATGGTATTACTGATGTGTGACACTGGAGACTTCTGGGGTATTTAAATAAACTGTTGCTACATCTTTAATTAGTACATGCAGTATAGGAAAAGCATCTAGGGGATACAGAAACAAAATTAATGCTTTGTTCCAGCCTTCTTGTCTCTGGTATAATTTGTGTATTCACGATACAATGAGAACTCTGACTTGATATGGGTTAGTTAAAGGAAAAGGGGGATGGATAACTGTCAGAAAGCAGATTCTTCATTACAGCATTACAATTAAAATAAAGCACACATTTGATTTACTGAACAGATAATATGGAGTTTCTAGATGTACTGGATATTCCAGACTATACACAAAATTGTATCTGAGTAAGACATGGTTGAAAAAGAAAGAAAACTTGTTTGTGTAGCTTAACAGAGGAGGCCAGTATGTATTTTATTTGACTGGGATTTTTCTTAGGGGCCTTATCTGTGACAAGGCTTAGGGCTACTTCAGCCTCTGACTGGGGAGTCTACTGCATGGCTTTTATTGCCATCAGGAATTTGAACCACTGCATTCATAGAAACAGACTCATTCTTCACTGCAGTTAAAGCTGATCAGTTGTTATTGCTGATCCAAAGCCCTCTATCGCACTCACACCACTTCTGATCTTAAAATCTGATCAAGGTAAGACCTTGCTTTGTACTAAGGTCCCAGATAATGAAACTATTACAGTCGGACATCCAATAAAGTTGGTAGGATTTCTCAGCACCCCTTCTCTAGGGCAGTATGCATATTGTAGCCTTCCTGCTCACTGCAGGTATGT